TCAGTACTTGTTACACACCAATAAATAAAAAGGTGAAGGTTGAGATGGGAATTCGCAATTAAACTAACCACTTACAGGAACAAAAACGCACTTTAATTTTTAAAGAGGAATAAAGTGCAAAAAATCTCTTCTTACTGAAATCCTAAATGCTACATCTTAGTACACCTGGCTGTCTCAGCAACCGACCATATCAGTAGTAGCTGCATTCAAGACGAATTTAGTCGGCTACATAAAAAAACCCGTACAAGTTCCCTCTTTTCTCCTTTTTGGATAAGCAAAAAAGAGGCTAAATTTGATTAAACTCCAAATGATATCTAGGCACATAATTCCTCCCTGCTTTAGGTCATACTGCGGTTCCCCACTCAATACCCTCTAAATTCGACTAATATCTGGCCAGCGGAAAAGCCAGTCATCACTGATGTAGGATATCGCAATTATTTCTGAGGCATCCAATTTAAGTTCTAGCATGCTCCCCTTTCTCCTTTTCGTGGCAAAGTTCTCGTTCAAAAAAGACCAAATAACCCTAATGGCCAGAATGGAGGTAGCAAACTCTCGTTTCGAGACCACCTCCAAAGGCCATTTTCAACACGACAAAAGCCAGCTAATTGCGTAATAAATTACACTTCAAAAGGTAGTTTGAAATTATCGTTCCTTTGTACAGTATATAAGCTAAAAAAACCTAAAACTTTTATGGACGGCCTAATAAATACATTGTCAAGTGTTTCTGGTCCACTTTACTTGGTGTTTGGGTTGGAATAATTCTCAAAAATCACTAATATTAAATTTTCCTGACCATATATATTTCAAAGAATACGTTTTGATAGATTTGCAGACCTTTGAAAAGATGCCATTCATTTCTTTCTAACTCGTCAACTTGAGCCATTGGGTCCATTGGGATTGTCTCGCTTCTACGTAACTAATGGAGATAGGAAAGTCAAGAAACCCATTCTTGTTGCAGCGGATGACCTTGTAGCGTTTGTGAGATTTTAACAGAATCACCCAAAGTAAATGAGTGGGTTTTTTAAATGCATTATTTTAATGAAAATTATCGAAGAGGATGAACATTGTTAACCGAACAAGAGCAAATATCTCGTACGTGTTGTGAGACATTGTGTTGAAGGGTTTCGCAATTTTGATTCAATCTCATTCTGGATTCAAAATTTCCTCAAATAAGTGCATATATGGCCGCGAATATGGCTTATTGGTTGAATTTATTAAAGATTAGGATCGATTTAGTTAGGTATGTAAGCATTATTAGTATTTATAGTTTGCCTTAATACAGGAGAAATCGTTAGTCAGCACTCTATTGTCCTAAAGTGGTTTAAGCGAACCGCGCACTCTCAATTGACCCAACCGCTGACTCTGTTTACCACGAGGAAAAAATATAGTCAATCCATTTCATAATTATAGGCTATTTCTTTGAGTAATTTGAAAATGCTAGTTTAATTCATATCCAGCAAAAAAATATACATTTTTACTCAAAAATAGTAAACAGTTGTTTTTGGCCGAATAGACACCACTTTTACGAAAAAGTAGACGTAAAATGAGTTCGAAATGTCACATTAGTTCACCCCTGATGCGCAGAAGGTAACAATGAGTGGTGTTTTCGGGAATTCCAAATCATCAAATGATATTTGCACTTCAGTGAGTTTCATATAAATCTAACTATTTGATTCCAAGAAGTCTGCACTGAATGCCTGCTCTGTTCTTCAATGAAAAGACTGTAATTCTCAACAAAGGTTGCAAAAAACTTCATGGCCACAATCACTGCGATGTATATCCGCGTCGTAGCAATGGGATACAAATGAATACGTTTACGCTTTTGAAGCCATTCGCCTTTTATTCGTAGTGCTTTAAGCCCTTTCTGTCTAAGGAAGTAGATTTAGCACAAGGGTAGAATGTGTTGCCGAGGTAGAGAAGGGCTTGGGGGCTACTGATATGGCACGGAGGCCATTCGCCCAGCGAAAGTAGAATAGCGGAGCATTAAGATCACTCAATATCAAAACGCAGGGTTAAACAACCGACTTATTTTGCAGCAAAATATTTTCAAAAGTTTTGTGTTAAATAGTCAAGTTTTAATACCAAAACGCATTTTAAAATACGAAAACGTCATTTTAAATATAACAATCTGGAACGCTTATTCCGCACCTGTATTAAAGTCAGGAGGCTGTACTAAATGACTGCACCATCAGCAAGACATAAGTGTCTAAAATGTCTGAATCCCACTGTTATAAGTTGTAAGTATCTTATTCTAAGGAGCAAAATTTTAAATTTTAGTCAGTAAAAATGTGGTAGTAGAATCTATCGTAATTTCTTCGTGCATGAAGACCTAAATGGTATGCAGAAATCCATTACTATATAATGAGCATGTATCATAACCCACCTTTAAGTCTTCAATTTTGCAATTTTGCACCTGATTTCTGGATTATTTGCATTCTTTTACAGACTTTATTCAGGCAATGTGCACTTCCATCGTAATCTGAGGAGTTTAGGTTAATCAATACCAGAGTCTATAGGGAGATCAGAATTTTTAAAGATAGTAATAGTTGGGATTACAATGGTTAATAAAGCTCTGGGACAGCACTAAGTCTATTAAAGAGATGAATCACATCTGCACCGTGAAGGAAGTGTTTTCTTCTTTTGATAAAAGTTTATTTACCCACTCCAATTTTAATAAAAAGTTGTCCCTTAAAACAACCAGTCTTTCTTCAAATCATTTGAAACATTAGGCCATCAAGGATAACAAAGGTCAAGAATGGGTAATTTTACTGGAAAACCATAGGCATACTAATCGTTTTAGACTGTGTTCACTATGTTCCTCGTTCTGAGTAGAAGTACTAATTCAGTACTAAGTAGTATTCTTCACTTTGACGTTTTATTGCTCATCAAAACAAATTATTGTTAGTTTTTCCTAGCAAAAAATTTGCAATTTGAGAAATAATTAAAGTGCATTTTTTTATCTTAAGCATCTTTCTGCGATCTTAACTCCAAAATCTACCTCAATTCGGGTATTTAACTTAAAGAAACAAACCAGTCAAATTTGTCAAATAAAATCGGTACCGCTTTTGATGATGGACATTAGTTGTAAGTCACCAATACCGTATCATTCCAAGTCTTAACTAAGCAATATATTTACAATTCTCGTTCTTTTTAACTTTCATTTTGCAGGGCTCGTGAAGCAGGTGCTAAGATTATCCCCTTGGGACTAGGGTGCAGGTATTTTCTCCATAGACTTTCATTCAGAGTGTGTATGTTCAACAGTGAGTAGTAAAGTTAGGAACCAAAAACTTACTAAAGACTAAAGAGAGGTATAATGTGGCCGATTTAATGCTTTATTGAGGATTCTCTTCGATAAATGATTCGAAGGCTTTTGGGAAGAACAATTGTTGGCGTTAACTTCAGTTTAAATCTTAAGCTTTGCGAAAAAGACATTTTCAGCATGATTTTAAAAGCTTCCAGATCCAATCATTAAGAATTAATAATGCAATTTTGAAATATTGGCTTTGTTGAGAACTCGTGAGAGCAATATAATCATGAGCTTGCTACATCAACATTGCTTTACTTAAACCATAGCACATACCGATTGTGTAGGTAAGTTAATGGAAAAAATTTTAACTGCCCAACAACTCCGACTTTCTTACAGTTTTCTCCCCTGCTTAAGGGCCGAATGGAAAGTTAACCTAAATGTCAACTAATACCTTGTACGCAATAACAGAGAGGACCCCCTCCTCTGCATCTGAAGCATTCCATTTGTGAAAGAAAAAAAGGCTAAAATTAATAATCAGTTTACGTCAAAAACGCTGTACTTGCCCAGCTAGTCAAGAGTAGCATTTGTGGAAATCGTGTCAAATTACTTAGCAACTCAGAAAATCGAGTCAACAAGGGAATCGCAGATGACTTTAAGTCAGCCACACCACAGTGCTCGGGGGCTATCTAAAGCGAATTCATATCAACTGAGTGGTTTTGAGGTCATAATCATTTCAAGCCAAGCAATAACTTCCCAGTTTTAAGCTAATTTTCAAACCCAGACATTGGATACGAATGTTATCCTCGCATTTGTTGGTATTACATGGAGATAGCTCTGCCACCTCTATTATCGGATACTCTAATTTTTGAGCCAATTCATTAAATATAGCATGTAATGGAGAGTGAACACAAAAATTTTATTTTCCTATCAAAAAGGAGGTAGGTTTCCATGAAGGCAGTGCTAGGGAAGTGTGCACATAAAATCGCTATCTTGGTTCAAAATTTAACCACCGTACAAAATTGGTGAATACATGATGCTGAATTAATGATAGGGACCACTCTACTCCTGGATTACAAATGGTTGCACCTGACGGAGCTTTGGTATGCGAAGTGCCTTGCTTTGAAGAATGTAGTAAGCATTTTCATCACAATGAAATGCATTTATTCTGTTTTAGAGTGCAGAATCTGTTGGCATTTTAAAGATATGTCACTGGGAAAACCACTTTGTTTGACTGCTAGGATAGGGGAAAGCAGTCTTTTAAAAAACTAGATTCGGTCTGAAATTCACCTATTTAAATCCCAAAAAGCCCTAAAATCAAATAAGGACTTCAGGTTGTCACGGATTTTTAACGCAGGCTCCATACATGGGGTTAATTCAAGGAAAAATTTTACGTGAATATAAAAATTCATCTATTGTCTGAGTAATCACAGCCTTAACCATAATTAATACAGATTTGAACTTAATGATTTATGTAACAGTTGCCAATGCCAGTGCATTGTCATCAAATTTTTTACCAACCGTTTTGTATAAACCTTAAGTAGGAAAATGGATACACCACAATAGTACCAATTTCCTAAGAGCAGACATTTAAGAACTGTTACATTAACGTTATATAGTTCCATATCCATAGATATAAGGGCAACTGGGCAATTCTGAAATGCTGCCATATGTCGGCCATTAACTGCAAAGGAAGGAGGATTGCTTCAGCAATCCGGATAGTGGGTGGTCTCTGAAAAAATGAAAAGTGCAATGTTTATTGCCCATCAATCAACTTTAAAACATAAAAACAACATGTTTTATTTTGCAACCATAAGAACAGAAAACTTTTATACATGCTCTCATTCACTGCGGCTGAAACAATCCAAATTTCACTATTTTACAGGTTTCTATTTAGGTTAAGGAAAAGTTAAAGCGCACTGTGCATATTTAATTGCTTTGCAATTTAGCTATCTGACATAATCAACTGTGACCATATTGGTACCCATCCTCTAGTCAAATCTGCAGCAATTACATAAAATGGCCTGCCCGTATGTAACTCATCTTAACTACTTAATTGCATTAGCCCAAACCCCGAGTAATGGGCAAAAATTAGCCAACCGCGTAACTCAGACATAGTGTAATTCCCTCTATTGTTTTACCCGGTTTCGGTTAAGCGTGCAATTAAGGCTCCATAAGTCCACTTTCAATGTGCAGCAAAACCTCCGGGCTATGTCAGTAGACTCGCAGCTCTTCTGTACGTCAACAGTACATATTCTGCCCTAGTCTCATGTCATCTTCCTACCACAGGGAATGAGATTTGCTAAATTCGTGTTGAAGCGATTGCTGATTTATTACAATTTGATGTATAATTCTCTGCAAAGCAGAGCATTTAGAGTGACACCGGAACCATTTCATATCACGTATTCAAAGATAAGCTGCCGATTGTTACCTGATAATAATTCAAAATATAATTCTAATTGGTGTTTGTTAAACTATGCAATTTCTGACTGTTGTCAGAATTGGGCAGTAATTTAGTTTAGTAGTCAAAATAATTCTTGGGTTTTCACCTAAACCTAGATAACTTACGGATTTTAAGCATGGCATAACATTATAATCAGTTTCTTCTCCCCATTCAAATTTGAAATCGCACTTTTTAGAGCGATGGTGCATCTTTGACACTGGAGACTTAATAGTAGACTCATTCTCCGAAAAAGTCCTTTCGAAGTTCTGCACCCACAATGGCTTAAAATATGCACATGTTACATATTTTCCTCAAAAAAGCCAGGGAATAGGAGACTGCCTCATTGCTCATTATAAGTAAATGAATAGCCTTTTAGCTTATTGGCTGCACAAATTTATTTCTAAATCAAAGTTGGCATTCACAACCTCTCAGAGGACAAGAATCAAATGTAAATTCGATTGACATGGCAAGGATAGCTATCTAAATATACACGAATATTTTTTGAATTCAAAACACATCTAAAATTCAACTCGCATATTCAAAAATATGTTTAATTTATATCTTGCAAACGTGTTCTATTTTCCTAGTCATGAGACACCAGGCATTTTCTTGTACATTTTTGCGGAGGCGATGAAAAAATAACTACACTGTGGTTATGCAGGGCATTAAAAATCCAAACATACAAAATAAGCTTTTTCTACCAAGATCAGATTGACAGCAGATCAATTTTTTTGCATCGGTGAGCCTAGTCTTCTCCAAAGTCATAGAAGAAGGCATTTAACCAACTCACAGAAGTTCTGAGAGGCTGCTATTATGGCATGCAGACCATGTCACAGTATGGGATTACAACCAGTGGAGATCAAGGCGTCCAAGTGGTTAAACACACAGTTATGCAAAATATAAGATCACTACACAACCTCTCTCCCCTGCTGAAGGCAGTTCTGACTCACAACGTTGACTTCTTTCCGCATCGTTCGTCACAAACTAGCCCGTGATCCAGCTGGGACAGTCATTGAATTTCCTTGCCTTTAAGAAGCTACTTGATCCTAACTTCACTGACAATTGTAGGCAATCGCACTGTATTTGGATCTTCCCTTTACTTGTAAAGTTGTAATGGGAAGACGGGAATGCAGTTCCTTCATGCTCATTAAGACGGACAATGCTCTACCACAAAGTTAACTTGTATCCCAATTGCCAGTTCTCCTGGATTTGGCTTAGAAGTTCAGCCATTCAATAAAAATAGGAAGATTAAAAACATGGTTACGGAACCAATGTTTTGTACCTACGTCTCCTTGCCACCTTGTTCTCATTCCATTGATACCAAATCATACATCTATCTGGGTTCCATTCAGAGGGTAGGGGCAAGGAGAAGTCATCGTTTTATCGTGCAATTTATCTCTTTGCATAGGTATCGTAAACAGCTCCGTAATACAATTCCCCTAATCGCTTAAGTCTTTTTTTTCCTTAGTTTGTGTTTTGCCTTCTTTTAGAGCATAGGCGAAGGGAAATTTCCAAAATGTTGAAGTCAGTTTAACCCCCTGAGAGGAGTGTTAACAGATGCACCCATTGGTGGCGAATCCTCTTCCTCCGTGACTCTAAGGTTTAGTATTCAGCCGTAAACGTTGAGATGGCTGTCTTTTAGTTTTGTAGGGTTCCGAGTTTTAACGAACATATCAAGATGCACTGAGGCTCCCTTTTGAGGAAATCTTTCTCATATTTCAAAGAAATAATGGCTCCGCTAGGTTTTAAATGGACTAAATATTGCGGAAATTATAATTTGCTTTATTGTTACTTTTATTTTTTGCGTCTCGTAAACATGCTCCGGAGTATTCCGAAATGCTCTCCTTTTCCGTACATATAGAGGGGCATCTATAGTTAGGTCCTTGATTTGATCCAGCGTTATTAGCCTAAACCTTTTAGTCATTAAACGTTAATATTTGAACATTTTTGGTCCCGTTTTGTTACATAGGGCTCCATTAAGCTATAGCTTGAACTAATCATTGCTATTCTTAAGCAATCATGTTTACATATATTCCTGCCAAAGTTGGAAGAGGATATGACTTGGGAAGTGGTTGGTACTGCAAATGTTATTGGAGATCTAACAAATTTATGAAAAAATACGAGGCTCCGTAAGGCGTACAACGATTGTTTTTCGGTAGAGGAACTTTCTACGCCACTGATGGAACTTTTGTAACCACCGACAAACCAAAACCTCACAAGGAAGACCACGTCAGAAGCACACATCTTTGTGGATAGTTTGTCCTAGTCCCAAAGTTAGGTCTTTTAAAAGGGTGATTTGTACTTTAAATCCTCTCTTGACCTTGGGTTAAATGCACACTATGTAATGAATTGATTAATTTTCTGACTCATCGTTTTTGGTTGGCTGAGTATCAATACCCCACCATTTTACTTTCACTGGGCAGCATGGTCTTCCAATGTGCCGGTAACCCCTAAGTCCTTCTGTACTTCAGCAGTATATATTTTGTCGTAGTATTATACCTTCTAACTACTTCAAGGAAGACTAGAAGCGCTACACCTATATTCAAATGATAGTTTTAAACTATCCATTTGTAGCGTCTCGAGACCCCCTGAAGACGAAAGAAGACACAGTACTCCGGTTGAATATATATTCAGCGCAGAGAAGGTGTTTGAGCTATTGGTATGGCCCAAAAGGCCAGCCCACTCAGCGAGGTACAGGAGGGCCAATTCAAAGTACAAAAGTGGCTCCTCACCAATATTGGGGGATAAACCACTATTGTATTACACATTAGTATGTAGGAGTGGATTATTTTTAAAACTCAGCCATGTTGCTTGAATATTTTAATTGAAGGTACTTGAGCTCCTTTATCCATTTATCTCGAGAAATTCGAATTTATGGTCCCCTTACTTTTGAGATTATTTCATGATGTCACTTTAATTCAGGAGTAATTAAAAGAAATTAAGTAAATACTACTTGTTTCATTTCATGATGAAAAGCAAGAAAATAGTTTGTACCAAACAGGCGAAGATTATTCTTTATCAATACGGCAATCCAAAGTTGTGAAAAGCGAAGGCTTAGACAATTAACCCAGGAGCGCTAGTGAATAATTCCTTTGTCTAGACCTTTCCAATAGTAATGGCACCTTAAATAAATCTCATTACCAGTGGTCCTTAGTAAATACCAATCTGTTTTCTAAGTCTAGATAACACCGCACCTGATGAATAGAGCAAAGATTATTGCTGATCCTGAGCTGTGGAATGAAATGAGATGTAACACGCTACTTACCCCTTTCCTGTCTACTTGATGCCCATTTCCTAGCTGCAATGCGGTGGTATAATTGCAAATCTGTCAACACTGTTTCTTTTACAGCGGTTCAATTTTGTATAATTTTGCCAACTCTACCAGTCACATTCAATAGTAATTTATGTTCTTTTTCGTCTTTCCCTAAAACAAACGGGAGTCCGAATGGTCAGACAAAGAAGTTATTAAGTCCCATTTTTCAGTCAAAATGTCAGGCTGACTTTTATTAAATGGCGTGCGTCATTTTTGATGGCGATAGACTTCATGAAACAAAAAATACAAAAACATGCCGCAGAGTATCAAAAGTAGCAAAGCAAAAACTACAGATAATGTCCCACCACGCTCTTAGTCCCTTCACTTTCATTCAGGATCAATTCTGATAAATTTTTTATGGAAGATCAGGAACCTCCCGCAGCATGAAGATAGTTTAAACTTGCAAAAGAATCGGCGACTTTTTGTCCCAACTTCCATCTTGCACTAATTTTGAATGCAACGAATTACTTACGCTGATCGTCATAGGATACTTAACCTAGCAGATCTAACAGAACATATATCTAATCTGCCAAATGATGTTTACATTGTGCTGTCAGTTTCCATTTGCAAAGTTTTTACTGCCTTTTGTGCTCCTATTTCCTCTTCACGATTCTTCTGACTCATGTAGCTTTGATGATAAAACGCCTCAACATAGCAAGGCATCGTATAGAATTTTATTGCTGCATTACCCGCGGCCTCATCGTCAATTAAATTTAATCTAATAGCACTAAATGCTACATTTGTCCGCACCAAAGTCGTAGCCTTGGTTTGATCTTTCAAACTTCAAAGGCGAATTGGGAATAACAGCCTCACAGTAAGACAACATTTGGCTTAAATAAATCAACAGCATGCGTAGGTTTAGTAGAAGTTGCTGATAAATTTAGGTGGTAAAAACACCATTAAATTATTGTTCCAGTAGATTGAAGTGCAATATCACCGAAAATAATTACACTTTAGGATATTAGTTATATCATTACAAATGAAAACTTCTGTGCAGATTGGAATACGGTGTAAAAGTCATAAGCTATTAATGATTTGTTTTTTCCAAAAGTTGCCCAAATGAAATGAAGCATCATTTTAAGAAACTCATTTGATTTCCTTGAGTATTCAAGGGCATTTTGTGCAAGTCTTTGAAATACCTGCTTAAGAGTGATGGTCTATTCTGGGTAAGATTTTGAATGAGGCAGAATAGCCAATCCTCGTAGCATCTAAAATTTTACTTATGTTTGTTTGTACTTTCAAGTATCCACACAAATCATGAGAATTCGTTTCGGAAAAATTTTTTGACTGTTATCGAGAAATGCAGGAAACATATTGAATGCGATGCATTAACATTCTAGGATACTCTGATCTTTCCACCTTGTCATGATGAAAACGGCGGAAACGGCGTACGCATTTGATGTTCAGGTAGGCCTTAATGACTTTGTACTTTCAGATGAACAGAGTATCCATTTCACCTAAGGATTTCCTTCCGTCCTTCCATACTTGGGAAACGCAAGTAAGATTGTTTGATTTATGCAAGGAAGTTACTCAAGAACGGGTTTTAACATGAATATAGAATGCGCCTTTAAGTTAAACTAGCGTATTACTTAAATTCCAGCCTTTTTGCATGCTTCTTTGGCTTTTACAATTAATTTATTTAGAGGTTGGGCAGAAGTTCCCGATTCATGTTTTAAGCTCTATCGTATCATTAACTTATTTTCACAATTTAATCAAATTTATGCTGTTTCGCCTAAATCCACACCCTACCTTGGAACCACCTCAAAGATTTTGTCATAATTGGTTCCCTAAAAGTCGGATGTATTAAATAAGCCTTAAAAAACTTTAGCAGTGCTTTAAAAATTTTTAACACTATTAAAGTTTAACATTTTATTTTCATCACTCGGTTGTTTGTAATGTTTTAGTATGCTCTGATTCCCTCGCGGAACAAAAGCATGATACTTATTCTTTACTATTCTTAATTTTAGCCCCATTTATTAATCTTGTTGTAAAAACAAAGAATCCGCTGCTTTCCCAAATGTAAACAATAAAGCTTCTTGTTAAATACTATTTTGCAACCTGTACAGAAAATCGTCACTGTTTTTTAGACCTCTCAGGGAAATGACAACACAAATTATGAAGTCAAAATTAAGCAGGAAAGTGTTAACAGATCTCATTATATTTAATTTCCATTTACACTACCATGTTGACTATAATAATGAAAAAGTTCGCCCTAATTTTGTAACCATTTGCATAATTTTTGACCATGCTAGAGCATAGACCACTTTTGCTTTTACTTTTTGGCAGGATATTTTCACTTGCTCCATGTGCAATTTCAGAAATGGAATATCTGTGCATAAGTTTCTAACATCTTACGCATCCAACAAACTTATTTCCCCACCTCCGTGAAATATTAGTGACAAGAGCTTCGCTGTGGATGGGGGATTTTCCCAGACAACATAATGTGTAACTTTTGTCGCTGATGGTTAAATTATCTTTGAAGTAACTGGGAATAATTGAAGCACTTATAAAAACTTCTGTTCATCTTTTAAAAGTGAGTGACTTATGAGGAGAATGTTTTAATCGGCTTGAAAATGGTTCTATTTTCAAAAGCACTTAATGTAACAAAGGATTGTACAAGTCCTTTTGTTAGCATTCACAATGAAATTCGTAAAGACAGAACTCGGGCCTTTGGGTTGAAATTGTTGAAGTAACGTACACATTGAAGTGGATATAATCTCTGTAGGAAGTAAAATGTTTTAAATTAATTTCTAGTATTTCAATTCCACTTCCCACACTGGGCTATCATCCAGCCCTTTCGTGCGATTGACCCTGTGAAAGTATAATAGACCAGACGTGTTCGTTCGTGTCACCGACCCGTTGTGACAGCTCATTGACAGGGTAAAATTGCCCACCTATTATGCGGCATATTATTCACTCTCAAAGTGCTTCACTTTTTAGGAAAATTAGTGCGGCTTTTTGTCTCGACAAAGCCATAGTATGATTTTGGTTGATACTCAACTTTATTATGTTTTCATCATTAAGTCAGCTGCCGCATTTTGCGGATCATAAGACCTCGGCCACGTTGTCGATACAAGTGTAAAACCGCTTCAGAATGCTGCATAAACTCAAAGATCCGCATCGATTAATTGCGCAAATTTCTTGAAACATGTGGCTTACAGCTATTTCCAGGAATCATCACTCTTTTAAGAATTTGCACAATTAAATGTTAAAATGTGTAGTTTTATAATTGGAAGAAATAAGTTAGGGATATGCTAATACCCTGCACAGTTTGGAATCTGGGCGATGTGAGCAAAACTGCTACAACAGTGGCTAATTTATTCGCCGCTAATGTTGAACCTCGACGCCAGCTTTTTGCACCTCGATTAATGTGGTTTGCGTCGGACCTGGCATCAGGTCACACCTGATTGTCCGCTGGCGTTTACCTACTGCGATGAATGATTCCATTGGGTCAAACTTGACATTACGTTTTGGGCCATGAACGCAATAAATACTGCGTGTTTTGATGTTAAAAAAAATTAAGATGGTGTTAATGCCAAAAATACAGAAACAAGCCTTACCTCGTTAATTCCTTAGGTCACGAAACTGGAGATCAATTAATATTGTAACTAGTTTCGGTTGTTCACTGTTTTCCGATTAGCTCGAAAAACTACTTCGTATTTTAATTCGGGGAGAAAGTAGGACCGTTCATTATGATAAAGAAATTGCTGCCTTCCAAATGCACGGTTATGAAGGGCACAAGTTTCTATATCCATAACAGTTATGGGGCTAGCCTGAAAGTTAGTCGGATGGTCAATCTGGTAATTTAGAAAGGAAGATCTTGTGGCCATTTTAAATTGCCTTTAGTTGTTTTGCGTCGTACTTTGAATGATTTTTCATGGAAAATATCTCTTTCACACCAAGACAACTCGCGGTTTGCACAGTGCAACCCTACACCTGTTCGCACCTTTAACTATAACCACAGGTTTCATCAAAAGCCTTCGCAAAAATGTTTCAAAATTCTGCCACAAAGCGATGTCAGAAGTACTTTACTATGTACCCTTCTTGTTTTTCTCATCTGTAGCAGGCAGTCTCCTCATCCCCCATTTATTCATTTGTTTCCTCGGAAAATTTTACACAGTACCGAACACTTTGTCAGTCACCAGTGAACTTACTCTTGGGTGATGGGAATGACTTGCTTTTGCTAAATCGTCACGGCAAAAGTGAACCGCATAGTGGTGTACTTCAACAGAATTATGGTTATGGTCATTTAATGCTTACAATTTAGTGTAGGATGCTAGTGCAAGTTTCGCAGACACCGCTTTTTCTTTTGCATATGTCGATCAATTCTAGCTTTAAAGTATTCTTATTCCACATGTCCACTATAAGTCCCCTTTGTACTTTTTATTTTCCTCCTACTAGATTAGATGAAGTATGTTACACGTGGTGTTTGTCAGTGTACTTACTTACGGCCAAGCAAGCTAAGTACCTTGAGGTAGCAATGCAATGTCTTCAATTGCTTCAACGAAACTGCCGTATGGTGTAGTATTTTGATTGGTAGACACTTTTTATTATCCCCACACTGAGTGGACGAACTGACGAACCATCCCTGAAAATTGTTTAGCGATGCACATAGATAGATCATTTCAATAATCGACAATATAAGAGAAAGGGAGAGAAAGCGGAATTAGGGCTAAGGGCATGGCTTCATAACTATGATTTTTTGATGTTACCCGCCCTTAATTAAGTTACCATCTATTTAACTGTCAATAAGGCGATAAATGGACCCTATTCAGAGGGGTTCAGGAAGAATACACCCTCACAGCTTTTGGGTAATTGTCTATCACGGGAACCATGCAGCGACGCCATTAGAGTCTATGTCAAAATGTTTTTCGAAACACGGAAATGTTAGCACGCATCAGCAGCGTTAATTTGAGGGAATTTTACAAGTATATCAACCCCTCTGCTAGTGTGACCAAGTTAAAACTTGGTTGAGCTGTGCCTTCTGTTATTTTTAGATCGTTATTCCCATCAGGCGTGTTCACTCCTAACGACCTTCAAGCTCCACATTCCAAAATGTAATATTCTGGCCAGTTAAGAATCCTTGGTACTGTTCAACATTTTAATGCTCATACACTTGCTTGCCTAACACTTTATTCGCTCGTGGCTGTTCCAAATCATCTACTCCGCAATGCAACTCACATTTAACATAAGCGTTACCTGCTATCCCATGCACACACCCAGTTGCATTTTTTTGATCAGAAGACGATTCACTTGCGAAAATTGATCGAAGAAACACCATAAGTGGACGTCAGTAAGAAACTGATCACCGATGCTGTTTTTTAACCACTAAATAAGCAATGTAGAAGCCAAATGCCTGATGCCTATTCATTGATATGGACACTTGTAAATGTTACAATTTGTCCTAATATTTCGAAAATATAGAACATATTGTACCGTTACCTTGGTGAAATCCCACATCCACGAATTAGCTAGTCAGCACGATCGGAAATGATCGCCAGGAAGGACGTCCAACCCGAAGATGTTTCCTTATTCCACAATCACTAGGCAATTTAGTCGTCTTCTGAAGAGAGTCTTTGAGTTCTATGACCTCATAAACCTATTCCTATCCATCACTTATACTGAAAGCATAAGTTAGGAACCAAACCCAAAGACTTAGGACAAAAATGTATGCGAATAACCTACGTTCATAGTTGTAATGTGGGGTTAAATTAAAAGGACGTAAAGATTCAAGTCAAACATGCAAAATTTACTGCTCAAAGGTATAGCTTAACTGTTCCCAACAAGCTAAGCCTTGCAGAAGTGATTGTATTGGAAAGGCCACAGAAATTTAAAAGAAACATTACTGATGAATTTGGATATTTTAGGCAAGATTTGTACTAATTCAAACAATTAATAGAGGCTGAATCACTATGGAACTGCTTTAATTGAGGCAAAAAGTTGTTCCAATTTACCTCTACATCTAAGCTCCAATTGTCTTTATTTATTAAATTCATGGTTGCGAGGCAGCCTAAGGTACACGCCACGCGATAGAAATAGTCCATCTACAGATTACCATTAGACAAGTAGGCAAGGCAATGACTCAAAAATCATCACACG